ATGCATGCATGTGTGTATGTACGTATGAATGAATGTATGTATGTATGTATGTACGTACGTACGTATGTATGTATGTATGTATGTATGTATGTATGTGTATATATATATATAGAAATAAATGTAGGCAGGTAGGTGGATGGGTAGGTAGACAGGCAGGTTGGTTACTGGGTAGGTAGACAGGCAGGTGGGTGGGTAGACATGTCTGCACTGTTTGCATGTATGTGTGCATGTATGTCTGCATGAGTGTATGCATGTCTGCACGCGTGCATGTATGCACGAGTTGAGTGTGTGTCTGTGTTTGTATGTGCGTGTGTATTTTTCTGTGCACATGTGTACACTGTATGTGAATGATCCCGTGCAGTTGTATATGTGGATGTGCATTTGTATGTGTGGTTGCATGTGCATGTGAATGTACAGTTACATGCGTATGTTCTTGGCTTGAACAATGATATGGGTGCGTATGTCTGTCTGTCTGTCCGTCCGTCCGTCGGTCTGTCGGTCTGCATGCACGCGTGCATGCATTTGTAACCTGCGGTTGGCCTGCCAGAGCCAGCTCACACGGTGCTTGCTGGGACCGCCAAGGCCGGTGCAAAGGGCAAACCCGGTCCTCCTGGTGTTCCGCTTCGAGAACCGCCGCCTTCACCGCCGCCCAGAAACACCTCTAATTCCACCGCAACTTCTAACTCGTTTCGACCTTGGCGGTGTCTTATAGACACCAAAGAAGCATCCTAAGTGGATCCCGAGGTCCAACACAACATCTCAGAGCAATTCAAGTGACACTGATGATGTCGAAGCTCCGCTGAAGAAAGCCGCCAGCCTCCCCATGTACTTTGCAGCCTTTGGCGCACCTCGGCCAAGAACAGCACGAGCCTCTCCGCACATTGGAGTTCAGAGGCCTCCAGAACCAAGGCATCGGTCGCGGTCCTGCTGATTCTCTACAGGTCCATAGATGCCATCATCGTGACAGGACCCCGACCGGTCTTGCACACGAGAACTTTGAGTAAGCCATGTCGGAATCATCGGGAATCCTTCCTGCGAGTTGGCAGCAACTCTTCCGTGGCCAGGTGACCTCTCTGCACGAGCATGGAACAAGAAGAAAAAGTTAAAGGAAAGGAACTGAGTCTCCCGACCGAGTGAGCTGCAAATTCTTGTGAACTCTTCTCGGGTGCTGAGGCAAAAGCCAAAGCAAAATCCAGCGCAGAATCGGCAACCTTGCTTACCAAGACCGCAGTGTGTGCATTGGCTTGAGCCCACTGCTGCAGAAACCACCTAGGCAGCCGCAAGCGCCCCTGCTGATGCCGCTGCAAGCGCTCCTGCTGATGAGTCGTGACCGTGAGTCGCACATTCTCAGACTTGTCGGCTTTGCTGCGCCAAAGAACGCACCTTGATCTCTCAATGCTGGCGTGTAGTCAGACTGTTGCTCAGGATTGTTGAGTCGGGGTGACGTGCTACCACCAAGATGTGAATGACTGTGAATGCCACTTTTCTCAAGCTCCAGTGCTTGTGCTGAACTGAAAGCTGTTTCAATGGCGCCTTGTATTTCATGAGCACGCCTCCGGCCGAAAAGCTGCTGGAGGTCTCTTGGGTCGGCTAGGGTCAGTTAGGCTCCTTTCCATGTTAAGACGAACTGTTATGGCCTTCATGGGCCTCTGGACAGTCTCCTCAAAGGGGGTTTGCTCGCGAGAGTCCATCGTCACTCGATTAGCTTGGGATACGGAGCACTTTTGTTTTCCGGAGACAGATGGGCAAAGACAGCTAGCATATGATCCCTGTCTCGATCGCAAGAACCAGCGTGGGCTTTGGCCTGCCTCTGACTCCCTGTTGTGTATGCTATCGTTGTCTTTTGATGATTTGAAAGGTTGAGTCAAAAAGGTTCTATCAGGAAGACTCAGCCTTTGCTGCTCGGAGGTGAAGCATACCCTTCATCAAGTGTTGCGGCGTGTGGATTCAAATGGCGCAGCCTGGTTGCTGTTCGGCTTGAGCGACAGAGCTGTGCCAAAGCCGTTTTGTTGAGGTTCAAGCGTTTGGTGCAAGTTCGTTTTGGTTTGAGGCTTCCTTTCGCCGTTCCTGCCGTGGCTTTGGCTAAGGATGGCTACATAGACAAAGACGAGCTGTACTATGTTCTGGACCGGGTTGGCACATTCAAGAAGGCTAAATGGCCGCTCTCCCAGCTGACAGGAAGTACTAGGCGGATTGCAGGATGCGCAGACGATGTAGAAAGAAGATGAGCGCTTCGGAAGGACAGCTTGCCCACGCACAGAGATAGAGGGAATACTCAGTGTGCTGCCTGAGGTCCAACTTGCACGAGACGTTAGACAGGCTGCTTGCAGGCCAGTTCAGTGAGCAATGGGGAGGTTCTACAGAAGTTGTTACACGAAGGTTGGCAGGAGTTCTTCACGGCCAAGCTCTAGCACCGTTGTACTGTCACATGAGATGGAGATCTAGAGTCGACAGTTCCCTGCAGCGACCCAACAGGTTTGGATACCAACGGAGATGGCTTTGTGGCATCTTGACGACGTTAGGTTTTGGAGCTAACAAAAAACAAGATAGTGCAGCAAGGCATGTGCCACAGCAGGATTTGCTTTCCAACACAAAACATGGTGGCGCGGAAGAACGCAACAGCTTTTGATCGCGAGTTCAAGGGCAGACCTGCACATACTCCAAGCCATCAAAGCTCCACCACCGCTATTGCCTCGACAGCACTTTCGGCATTGCGGTTCGAACTGTGATTGGCAAATGCTGGGACTGTTATGGTGCTGCAATGGCCAGTTCTGCTGCCAGTTTTCCAGTAGAGCCGGAAAAGCTATTTGCTTTAGTTCACTGAAGAAGTTGTGTGATGGTTGGTAGTCCTTGCTACATCTTTCTGCTGCTTGTGACAGCGCTTATGGCTCGCACCGGTGCGAGAACAAGAGCCCGAATTGCTGACAGAGCCAGCAGGGCGCAACAGTTCAAGAAGAATCTTGAGGCTCGTTAGCTGTTTCGGGCGGAGTGGGGTGTGGGGTCAACAAGACAAGACTGAAGCTTGCTGGCTTGCTAAGTGCAGATGTATTGAGACCTGAATGCTTCGTTGCGCATGGCCTAAGGATGTAGACGAGTTCCTTGACTGGGTGCCCGCCTCATCCGAAATCGTGGTGTGCGCTTGTGAGCTTCACTGCGCTTCCGGGCACATGTCTGGCCTCCAAGGTGCTGCTGGACAAGACTGAAGTATCATCTCTTCACACCCTGCAGACACGGCACATTTTCCTTTCAGCAGAGGAACCAAGTATGCATTAGCCATATTCGTCACTACAGTCACTAGTCTTGACAGGAATCGTGATTTCGCCGGCAGGCAGATCTAGTTTTGGCAGCCTGCGTCAGTGACAGCGCGACTAATCTCAAGCCAATCTCAAAGCCATGATCGTGCACTGGCACCCGGCTCAGGACGAGGCGCGGATGGCAGCTCCGTCGCAAAAGCATACATCGCATGCTGCTTATCTTATCAGCCTTGTGTCTCGGTTGCTCAGGAACGGATTGCCTTGTTTGACCTGGAATGCCAGGCAGGCGCTGCCAATTGTTTTGTTGGCTTGCCTCAGCTCTATTTGCTCGCCTCCTGCATAGAAACCGGAGTCTGCAATACTTAAGCACTGCGGATGGCATGCTTTGATCTGCCACCAGGGCAGTTGCAGCAAGTGAGTATACCCGACATGAGCGTGGTGAGAAGTCCCTCTGAACCTAATGCGTGAATTTTGAGGCCACAAATAGCATGCTGGGCGGCTGCATTGCGGAATCTTTGGTTCTTGGAAAGTGTAGATGATGCAAGAGTCGGTCGGCGGGCAGTAGTTGTCGGATGCGGCATCGGTGTGGCATGGCGGTTTGCACATTTTGCTCGTCCGTTTCCTGCTTCCGTCTTGCGTCTTTGGGTCCACAGTCCGGGTACCAGTTTAGAGAGTGCCTGCACAGGAAAACAACGGCATCCTTGCTCAAGCTGGCCTCTGTGACTTTGCAGAACAGCCATCTCTGGCTTTAGTTTCGTTCTGGAAGCATGCAGCACGGATCATGATTCAAAATTTTATTCGTAGTGGCGGGAGTTGCAGCCTAGCTTCGACTCCCAAGGCGAGCTCACGGATCCGAAGCTTCTCCTGCTCTCGGTGGGCTCTTCCTCCACACAGGTTGGAGCCACCAGCTCTAGCTCCCGCTGGCATGCAATTGCATTCTCCATGAAGGCGTACGATGCTGCTGGCCTGTCGGTGTCTGTGCCGACAGGGACCAAGGCATCTCTTGTCAATCGTTTGACTCAGCTGCTCTCGACGGGGAGATACTTTAGGTACTTCAGCGGGTGCTTTCTTGGAGCGAGGGGTCCCGGCAAATCGCACAAGCTGCGTCAACGTGCAGGTCGTCAATGGCCAAGCCTTACAAGATCTGATCTCTGGTATTAAGCAGCCAGCGCTGGCTTACCGGCCGCTTGCCTACGTTCGACCGACCCGAATTGTGGGTGCCACTGCTAGACCATGTGCTGCTTGGATGCCCTGTCAGGGAGATCGTTCTGATCAACTCGATCGGGTATTGATCCCTGCTTGCATTCGTCCGCTAGTGCTGGCAAGTGTATGTTATGTTATGCGATGCTGAGGGCTGAGGGTTTCGAGCGTTTACATGACACCGTGGCCGGCTTTCTCCCATGTTTCGTGAGCCCTGTGCCCTGGTCAGTGCTGAAGCCAAACGACCCCGTGCTTGTGGACCTCAAAGAGCTTGCCACAAGAAGTCCAGAGAGCGCTGCTCAACGCTTTCACGTTGCTTTGAAGGAGGCCGGGCACCCCTGATTCCTAGAGAGGACAGCTTGCACCTGCCAGTCACCACCCAGCATCCATCGTTGTTGCAGAGACGCCGATGTGGAGGCCTTCCCGTTGGCGCAGACACGCGTTTATAATCGAGCGAAGGACAGGCTTTTGCACAAGCATGCTCTGGCCTGGTTGTGGAAGGGAGCTGTCAATGCCGTCGTTGCACAGGACCCCCAGACCAAGCGCTATAAGTTTCCTCAGCTTCTCAATGATTTCAGCTTGTCGTTGACCAAGGCGGCATACGTGTGTTTTTTTGTTGCAGCTCTGACATGTTGTGCACTCCAGGGCTGCGGCTTACCCGAAGAAAGTTTTGCTTACGCCTCAGTGGTAGCACCACTGCAAGGCGGTCTCGCTGCCCGCGAGCCTTCAGTGCATGATTCAGGACTTCCATCCGGACATCATTGTGGATTGGGGCGGGTCATCTTACAAGGTGTTCATGGATGGCAAGCGTATTGGAACCGAGGCCTTGGACATGGTCTGGAGTGCACAAAGTCAGGTGAAGATTACACAGATGCTAGGTCATGGATGCGAATGCATTTCTTTGTGACGGCGACACTCTTCTAAGGGACCGCCGCCTGGCTTCAAGGTTTCAGTGGTGAAGATCCGCGTGCTACCTCGTGGTCTTGAGTCCTGGTAAGGTCTCCCGATTGCAGTCAAAGAGATTGAAGCCTGTGTTCTAGCCCTCCTACAAAGAGAAATGCCGGAGCGCAGCGCCCACAAGAAGGCAGTGCCGGGACGAGACGGTTGTTCTTCCTGAATCTCATTTGGGCCTGTATTGTGCATTCTCGTTCGGAGGGCTTGCATGTTTGCAAACGTTCCATCGTGTGAGAATGGGTACTGGAACTACTCCCGGCAACCAAATATTTGCAGAAAGGTCGGCTCGAGGCCCCTCAGATTGAGGCACGCATGACTAAACGGTTGTGGTGTCGATGAGACCATTGGGGGCGTTTCATCTCGAAACAAGGTGTTTTCCTGGTCCTTGGTTCCGTCACTACAGGCCATGAAAGACCCAATCCCAGTGCCTGGGTTTGTTGTGCTTGCCGCACGATGTCCCCTGGCGCCTTGTGCTTCGAAAGTAAGGCTATACGCTATACACGTTGCAACATCAGGTCTCCACATCCCGACATCTGAAGCTCTCAAGCCGAAGCCTACATCTGAAGACCTACGTGCTTTGATCCTGAAGCTGAAGCCCAGTATGCATCCTAGAGTCTTAGACCCTACACGGCTTGGTGTAGCTTGCTAAGCGCCGACATGCCGGGAAGACAGTGTCTTTTGGAACATGTCGGCTGACTTGTGGACGAATGCTCGCCGGCGGCCTTTCTTTCCGATGAACACTATGCCAAGACACAGGGTTGTAAGCAGTGTCTCCTGTTTTTCTTCTGCAGGGCGTGAGAGTGTATCGCTCCACTGCCAGGTGCTGATTGCACAAACCGGAAAGGCGCGTGAGCTTGCAATGCGAGGGTGCAAAATTTAGTTCTCGGTACGAGAGCTACTGATTCCCGGTGCACGTCATGTGCGGTTCAACAAGCGTTCCGCACGTGACTTTGATTTTTTCGTTATGCCACCTTCCAAAGGCAGGTGGTGGAGTCTCCCATGACCAGCAGATGATATCGCGACACATGTGAAGAGTGCCATTCCGCCAAGATCATTTCCAACCAGCCCACAACGTTTACTCTGCATAACTTTCGTGGGCGGCCATGGGTCATTGACCTCTGCGAGGCCTGAAATTCCGAAGGTTTATCGCCAGAAGTCCGAGAGTCTCACGAAGTTTGTGGCAAAACAGCATCGTCACAGCAAGCTCCATGCTGGCGTTCAGCCGGGCTGCAAGGGTATGACGCGACGATGGCTCCGGTCCAAGCGGAACACTACAGCTTTTCTAGAATCTGGAACATACTTGTGCAACCTGCCTGAGTCCCTGGCACCGCTCGAGTTTGCTAGGCTCATAACATAGCGGAGAGATGCAGAGAGCAGTCGGACCGAAGCTGTCAGAGTACGATCAACGATCGCTCCAATTGAGAAATGGCCCGCCCGGCTTGTGAGCAAATGTTCGACGCGGAAGTGATCTCGGAGGCTTGTTTGCAGATGGAATGTTGCAGAGACGTGTTGCAGTCTTGTGCCAAGTGTTGAAGTCTTGCCACGTGCCGTAGTCAGCACGATTCGTCACCAAGAAACCTCCGTGCCTTAAGGAACTGCGGAAGCAGTTCGACGCTGCGGACAAGGATGGATCTGGCGAAGTTGATGCGGAGGAGGAACCGGCTGCGGCACTTGCTTGAGCTTCCGATGCTTTCGGCCGTCCCATTCTACTGATGAAGTTGCAGACTTCATGACCTTGATGAGCCTTGTGCGCTGCTCTCGTGCAGATTTTTTCGCAATTCGACTGATTGAAGAACTCCCTTCACATCATCATAGGGCAGCCCTTTGTGTCGGTGCACCGGAAGCAGGCCTGCAGACTCTTCGCCAGAAGCTGTGACGAAGCAGCAACGGAGTCTCGTTTGCAGCAAGCAGTGCTGGGTCCAGGAAGACGCTGTGACTAGAAGAAAGGCAGCATTCAGACGGGAGACGTAGGCCAGAAGCCCTTCCATGGCGGACAGGGAGCTGCGACCTTTGATGCTGAGTATGTTCGCCAGCAGCATCATGTGCTTGTTCAGGATGAAGAGATACACAAGACAGCCGACGCGCTGCGCCGACAGTTGGACACAGATCGTTCAGGCAGATGCAGTTAGCCTCGAGCAACGAAACCTGGAGGTAGCTTGCCTGACTTCGCAGGCACGATCTCCTTTGACGAGTATTGCTTCCGCTTCGGCCGTCGATACCAGATGGAGCTGAATCGTCGGAAACGCACGGGAGCCTTAACTGCAGCTATCGCACTTGCTGTCGTCGTGGCACTTGCCGCATCCATGCTCTAGTATGTAAGGCGGCGTGTCCGACTCCAATGGTGTGCCGAAGCAGGACACAGCCACATCCAAACTGGACGAGGACCTTACAACCTTCGCATGTTGGGACGGGTCCCGCAAGAGCCCACTTCGGAGGAAAGAGAAAAGCTGGAAAAGGAGCGTGAAGCCATCAGGCCGAGCTCTGGTGCCGGCCTCTTCTGCCCTTGAAGAGTCGCTCACGTCGCCTTTTTCCAGGCAGGAGCGCGAGCGACTGCAACTGGAGAAGGAACGTGAAGCCTTGAGGAAGGAGCGCGAAGCATTAGAGCGAGAACGTCAGGCACCTCCGCAGTCGCAGTCATACGTCATAGGGCCCTTGTTGGCAAAGCCCGACCCCCAGGCATCCTCCGGCAACTCCAGCTCTGCTCAGGTGGCTTTTGCCAGAGTCTGCAGGGCTTCTGTGGATGAAAATGTGGGAGTCGCGGCTCAGGTGCTGGCACCCGGCATGCGCGTGCGAATCCAGGGTCTTCGTGGAGCTCCGGAACTGAACGGCCTGGAGGTCGGAAGCGGAGACTGTCCCACTCTGTCATTATGTTTGTTTTTGCAATAGCCTGCATACATTTCACTAACACAGTGAATTCTGCACCCGGCAGTGCTTGCAAACCTTGTGTGAGCCAACTCCACAAGGACCAGGAGACTGTATGCATGCCTCCAGGAGACCCACCGCATACTAGTACCAAGAACGGAACAAATGCATGCGGCGGATGCCTAGCTCAGGAGGACATGACGTGTTGTCCTCCTTTGCTTTCATTGAGATAGACTTGATGGCATTGCGTATCAGACAACGGGCAGCAGCAAACTTTTAGTTCTTTGTAAGGCCATTCATTGACTGACAGCCGCTCATGCCTCAACACTGCAGTACTCACCTCGCTGTTTTTGCATGCAGATAGGTGTGTTTTCTGGGCATTTCCCGTTCTTATGTGGCTGACACGGTCCATTCAGGGCAGCTTGCTGCCGGAATCTGCTCGACCGGTGATGTCGTGCGCGAGTCGTTTTGAATTTGCAACAAGCCCGGCCTTCCCTTCCCTTCCAATTTTAGATAACGGCATGACGTAGACTCGCCCCCACCCAAGGCAACCAGGAAGGCCGGATGCTATGCTGGGACCAAGCTAGGTCCGTTGAGCTTGCCTACCTGAGATAGAAGATTGGAAAGGGGCCGTCCCGGACAGGCAATTCCTTCGCTTAGGGGTCACCCTACACAGCTACATGGCTACGGCTCAACTCAGGCATGGCTCCACTTTGCGCGTCCCTGTCAGCGATACGAGCCCATGCCATGGTCCCCTGCTCTCGCGCTCGCTGTCGCCATTGCGGCATGAACGTCGGAATATTTGGGTTGAAGGGCTTCGGTTGGAGCCTCCGACAACACGAAGCCAGCTGTGCTGCAATTTCAGCCCCAACCACGGTCGAGGCAACCACGACGGAGCCCATGCTTGCAGCTGGGCTCGTGAAGGCAGCAGCGACTTGGGCATCGCGTGTGGAAGTTGCAGTCGACGTCACAGTTCTTCCCGAAAAAGACTTAGTCAGACGTTTGCACGTCAGGAAGGATGAGCTGAAGCAGTTGCGGGAAGCCGATGTCCAGATGGCCAGTGAGGTCATGCTCCTCGGCCTCTTCACATGGAGGCCGGGGTCGAGTGACGCGGGCCCGCTATGTTCAGCGCTGGGGATGGGTCCCGGCGATGATGGTGAAATATTGGTCAAAGCACGGCCGGGCAGGCTGCCACGACGGGCGCCCTGTCAGGAATCAACACTGAATTTGGAAGTCGTTTCCAACGAGCTACCACCAGAAGAGCACATGGATACAAATTCCATGGTCGATTTCAACGAGGATTTCCGCGACATTGCGCTTCGGCGATGCACGAAGCTACAGCAGCTACGCAAGGCCTGGCGCCCAATTTGATGGCTGGCCAGGGTGGCGGTTAGGTTGGTGTGGCCGTGAAAGCCTTAGTCAGTTGGTCGCGGAAAGCCACAAACAATTGTTTCTGTCGGCTCTTTTATTCGGTGACTTGCGGATGTCACCACGGCAAAAGAATTGCTGTTACTGTTTAAAACAGCGTTTCACAATCTAACCTGCAAGTGGAGTAGCAGCACTGAGGCATCGCCTGTCTGTCGAGCGCCAGTGCTGAACAAATCCTCTGTTAATGCTGGGAGAAAGCTGGCGTGGTTGAGGGTTTTTTTGCGGAATTTGTCAAAGGATGCCAAGGTTGTCAGGGATCCAACTGCATGCGGGAGGCGGCCCCGCCGCTGCTTAAGCAAATATATGAATTTGGGGGTGTAACCATGGCCGAAGGATTCCTTGATGAGCACCTCAGTGTGCGTGCTTGATAACTGGGGTAGCTTGATACTTGATGGCGATGAGCGCCGATCCCACGGAATTACAACACTGGACTGCGATTCCAACCAGTGCCCTGAAGGCGACTGTTGTTCGATTCGATGAGGCCAGTGCTTCATAGACAGTGACGGTGTCGCACGCTCGTGGCAACTTCCCTCGAAATCACAGAAAGCTGCGCTGCAGGCCGCTGGACGGTATGTCGTCGATATCGCCGAGGGCCGTGGGCAGAAGCTTAACTGTTCTGTGTCCTATGTTTTTATCATTTTTTATCTAGAATTCAATGGTTTGTAGCATCAGCCATGCAAACATGTGACATTGTGCACCAGGCAGTCTTTTGTGGACAACTAGCGTGGCGAAGCATTCTAGCCGTGAGAGCTCTCAAACTGCAGCTCGTGCTGAGGAAGAGCCTGAAGGAATCGAATTTGGTTCGGCTCGGAGCAGAGCAAGCGGGGCCTGGGCCAGGGCTGTCGGTAGCTCAGATTTCTATTTTGGGCTCTCGGTGGTTCTGCGTGGTCTTGTTTTTGGCCAGGGGCCAAAAGGTGACCAACCTGGCAAACAGTGCCTTCCGTGACTTGACAGCGCCTGCACCCGGCAGTCTTGTCTTTTCGTGCCAGCGCCAGTGTCAGTGTGCAAGGTGGCCTACAACGTGGCTGTGCCCATGTGCAAGACTCTAGTCCGCAGCAAGTCACGCGGCAAGGGCTCTCATGCTGTCGCTTCGTTTTCGACAAATCATCTCAAGCTCAGGTGTGGCTCGCAAATTCTGGATACACTTGGTGGCAAGTCCTACTGGGTGTGGCCGTAGCTCCTAGCCTTAAGCTTTGACATCGCTACCTAAGAAACAGAGCTGGAAGCCCACACCCGTCAGGTTGTGCTGGTCGTCAGCGCGGTGATGCAAGCCGGCTCCAGGCACAGTGGAAGGAGACCTGGTTCACGACTCGCCTTGAGACAATCAGTCGGACATGCTCAGACGCGACAGGAGGACGCCATCTTCCTTTCAAAGCCGACCCGATCGCGCAGATTTCTCTGAAGACAGGACATACAGGAACGAACTCCGACACTTTGTTGAAGCACAGTCAGACACGGTTCAGTCTAGTTAGTCGGTTCGCGGTTTAAGAATGGTTTCAGCTGTTGGCGACAGAGGTGAAGAGCCCGCCCACCACCGCAGAACAGCCAGATACGAAGAAGATGATCTCGGTTCGGGCCTTACGCCGGTGTGTCGTCATATCTGCAAAGCTCCGAGCAGCGCTTTCGGAGGTAGATGTGTCTACCCACTCGCAGTGGATGCCTTTTGCTTGCAATCTTGAATGATGCTTCAGGCTACTCCGACTACGATGACTCCTGGAGCAGTGGGATAGGTTTCGGAGGGATGCAGCCACTTTGGCAGCACTGGTCGGATCACGTGATCACGCCAAGTCCGCGTTTGGCGAGCAGCCTTGATGCCAGGAAGTACCTCGTAATCGGTGGTTTGGCCATCTTATGCTGGAAGGGCATCATCCCCGTGCAACGCATGGAAACTTGGTCTGCTGAGACATGCCGTTGCTATGCTCTAAGAGCCCTCAGCTGTTCCGTGGCTGTTCTGTGAATCCCTGCATGCCGCTTCCGTTTGCAGGGTGAATGCATGCTTCGCTCGGACATCGTTTGCATCTCCACTTCCTCAGGATTGGTTCCAGCTTTACATGCTTTGGAACTTCCTGCAGTCCACAGGCATACTAGGCCTTTTGTTGTCAGAACGACTTTGATCGCGATTCGTGTCATGACAGTCAATATTGTTCAGATGGACCCTTTGTGAGGTGGGCACGGGGGTCACTATGGCGGAGGGTTTGGACGTCGGCGGCGGTCCTTCTTCTGAGCTACTTTGCCAACGTTCGGCATGTTGAACCAGACCAGCGACTTCCCTCACGAAGACGTGGCTTTGACAAACTCTCTCGAGCCGATCAGCATCATGGCCTGTCTAACCAGCTATGGAGCAGCTGCACTGCTGCAGTGTCGCAAGGGGGCCGAAGACGGAACCGGATGAGGTGTACAGTGTACTGCCTCTCTCTACAGGACTCGATCAGCACCTGAGCAGAAACGATGTGAAAGCTTGCCACTGCCGTAAGGGAGCATGGTTTTTCTGTATGTTGCGGCATGTGCAGCCATCTTGAGCCAATGAGTGAAGGAAGCAGACCAAGCTGTTTTGAAAGAGAGACTAGCATCATAACGCTTAGCGGACCTAGCGAGTTGAAGCCTTTCTACGACAAAAGAAGCAAAGTCACAACATGTCACGATGGAGATGCCGCGGCACAAGCAATGTTGATCTTGTCACAGCTGGTGGTGGTGCGTGCCGCGTTGCAGAGCGGCGAGGAGTTCTGGAGCTGTGCTGGAGATGGGGCCTTCTGGCACAGCTTTCGAGAGACCGAAGCTTGGCAACACAGTCTTCTGCTCATAATCGAACTACTGGGCAGGTTGGAGTTGACTGAATACCAATGGAGCTGTAGTTTGCTTCGTCTTGCTTCAGCGACTTGTTGCTGCAGATGGTGCCAAACTGCTGGAACATGAGAGATCTCATATGAATTGGTCAGGGATAATCATGAGAGACTCTGCTGACCGTGCACCAGCAGCATTGGCCTCCGATCCCGATTGCTGCAGAAGTGCGGAACAGAGACCCAAACAGCAGTCAGCAGCAGGCACGGTACCTCATGTACGATGAGCTTAGTCTGAACCTGAGATGGGATCTTGCGGTGTGAATTTTGGAGGTTCTGGAGGTTTGGCAGGTATCTAGTGACATCTAGTGGAGTGGAGGTCCCTTGCGAACATCGCTCGGAAAGCTGGCTGGCTTGCTTCCGGCATCATGGCAGAGGAATGGGCAGATCCGTTCTGAGCAAACTCAATTTTGAAATGGCTTGTCATCAACAGAAGAAGCAGTCAGACGGCTACATGCAGGTATGGCAGCTACAGGAAAGTGCCTTGGCAGACCCCAGGCGGGTAAAAGAAGGCTATGCCTGCCCAACAGGTGCGCGCGAGAGGATAGGGTTGTTTCGAGGGAAGTATAACCATGCGGGCATCTTGCCGTGCAGGCGAAGCGTTTCTGATGCTGCTCGACATCCTGCTGGCTGCAGCCTCAATATTGTTCGACTGCACTGGTATCTTCAAGCCTTGAACATGCTTAACCATGGTGTGGTCACCCGAATTGACCGGGCTTCAGTGCATGGCATTTTGCTCGTATTTGTCTGTGCCTGCGTATGTTGCGCCTGCACCTGCGCACGACTGTGTTGTGTTGTGTGTCCGGAAGTGCCGTGGTCAATGGCTTATAGCCAATTTGGATAGCCGAGCACGGTAGAGAAGCGCAGCTGTGCGGCGTATGCATGCAAGCATTACGCTGTGAACGTGCACATGCGTATCCGTGTTGGCGCGCGTGCTTGTGTAAGAGACAGAAGTGCCCCTCCTCTAAATTTGCTCGAGCGGAAGAACCCCACATATTTTGCTCGCATGGGGCTCGCGTATGGTCGCACGGGATAACGTGAAACAGACACATGTGTGAAATGTAGCACATACCTCAGCGTCCGCACCACATTTGGCACTCTGGCCTATCTGCTGCGTGCTTCTCGATACTAGCGTCTACTTGGGTTTAGCTAAATTCTGACGTATAGTTTTCTGCTGATGTGTGTTCTCCGACTCACTAGACCAGCATCTGCCGGGATTGACATGTTTTCCCCCGGCTCATGTGAGACAACCCCACCACCAAGCACAACAGCATTTCGACTTTGCTTATTTTCAGGTTCGGGCTTGAAGGGTGGTTGCTCGCTTTTTCCATGTTTTCTCGTTTGCTGGGAGTTGAGGGTTTCGAATTTTCCGGCAAGCGGTGCTGTTGAGCTTTTCGGGTGTGTTGTGGTGCTTTTGAGGTTTGAGGGTGAAAAAGATCGGGTCCGAGAGCATGAGGTATGGATGGTCTGGGGTACGCAGGTGGTCTTAGTGGACGATCGTGTGGCAGAGGCATGAGTTCTGAATTCGCTACTAATCAGATGCGCTTGTAGGTGAACTTTGTCAGGGCAAGGCGGATAGCCCTTTTCATGACGATGCTTGCTCTGTCATTGTGATGAATTTGTCGTGAAAGTGCAGTTGCATCTTGCACAGAGGTTAACAACGCGCTCGTCCGTGAGAACATGCCAGCTGGGAGCAACATCATTGAGAAGCTGGGCTTTGAGTGAATCTGCTCCAGCTGACTATTGAGAAGGGTCAGTCCTTACTGGATGTCTTCCGCTTGTAATCTTTGCATCCAAGTACGCAGCCCTTGTTCAAAACCTTGGTGATGCTGCAGGCAGGGTCGCACATTCCAACCTCCGTCGCAGTGCTGGTATTGCTCAGCGAAGTGGACTAGTTTCGGTGGATGCACTGGCCAGGAGCGCGTGCCTTCCCTGGAGGCTGGCCGAGCAGCTGCATTCTTGCTCGGCCGAGATCCGCTTTCACTTATGGCACTTCTTCCAGTACAAGACGTTCAAGACGGGCCCCTGTTCTAACGAACTCTTCGGCAGGCCGTGCTTAGTTCGGGATGGCCACTGTTCGGCTTGTTGCTCGTCCGCAAAGTAGTTACAAAAGCAATGTAGGACCTGAAGCTGAAGCAATCGTGTGCTGAGGCTGGCAATTTTGCAAGAGGGTCTTTTCGGACTGGGTCGCCTGGCGGCTCAAACGTTGCTGGTTTGCAGGAGTATCGCAGAGCGTTCAGTCGGCAGCGCTCTGATATGTTAGTGGTGAACGCAAGGGCCCTGCTCGAAGTCTGGGGATTGTCAAACCCAAGGCAGAGGTTGATTCGGCATTGGGGCACCATGGCCGAGGTGTGCCAGGACCGCTTCTTGCCAAGAAAGCCTCATGGCACACCTGAGATTTGCACTCTCATCTGGCTTCTCTTCTACCAGTACCCGCACCCTGTAACAAACAGCCTGCCTTGTGCTGGTGCGCTGGAGGAGGCGTGGCCCTTGCATACGGCGCTGCAGACTTGGCTGGATGCTCTGCCTGTGCCAGAAGTGGCCATGCGTCTGAGCTGGAATGGTAGCTGTGCTTACCTCGAGAACAGCCATGAGAGTCAAGACGGTTTAGTGGAGTGTCCCTGCGTAGATTCCCGCTTCTTCACAACAAGGCCTCCTCTTTTGCCTGGCACACGACTTCAAGCGCTGAGACTCCAGCAGCAGCTTGCTGCATCGCCTGGCCTTTGCTCTCAAGATCCAGGTCCCTCGCCTTTTTTGGGAGCTCACTCTGCCCTCCCTCCTTAAACACTACAGTCACTACAGGCACCAGAGCAGCTGTCCACCTTCTTGCAAGTGGACTGTTCAATGAAAAAGAGAGCCCGCCGTGGAACAGCACAGGCCAGGGTCCAAGTTGTTCCGAGATGCACCACGCTGCTCGTCGTGTCCTTGCAGGCTGGAGGAATGAGTACGGAAAGCTGCGAAGACTGCTTCTTGATTTGACTTGGTAATTGCGGTCAGTGCACGTGCCATCGTGAGCCTAGTCTGAGATAGGATGGAGAAGGCATTCAAGACCGTGTCTTGGGGGAGACTTGTCTTTACAGGCTGGGCATAGCCAGCACACTGCAGTGTCCATTCATAGCAGTCATAGCATTTAGGAATTTGGCAGTCACATGACCATATGAGTTCTTCAGATTTTCTGAAGTTTTCTGAACGTAGGTTGGCCTCTGCTGGCGCTTCTTCATCGACTTCAAGAGGCCTTCGTCCGTGAGGCAGAGGGGTTGTACACCCCATCCCACATCCACAGCCCACTGCACTGCCTGTGAAACTGTCACAACCACTTGATCTAACGTGCATGCACGCGCGCCGTTTGTTGGAACATCGGCGTGCAGCGCACATACCTGGGCCAAAGGTTTTCCGCAGCAGAGGATCGCAACCAACTGTTGGTTCTGTCTCCGTGTGTGTAAAGACTGCCGCTGACGAATCACGGTATGATGCACCCCCCTAAGAGCCTCCGGCTCAAGCCGCCGACCCCGCAGGAGTGAGAGGAAAGGACGTGACATATGATTCAGGCATTCGCTCGAGCTGTTCAAAGTTTTCATGATTGCGATGAGTCTGAGACTCCGAGCAAAAATGGCTTGGAAACAAGACAGAGAAGTGCGCTGAACCCGAAGCCCTAAACTCCAATTGGCATGCGGTAGCGCAGTGGTCAACATCCTCTCAAGTTCCAGTTGGCTGCTACAACGAGTAATGCTGCCGCCAACTACTAGTAGTGGTAGTAGTAGTAGTCGTCGTCGTAGCAGTAGTCCTCAAGGGAGGGAGGGAGGGAGGGAGGGGAGAGGGGGCAAGGGGGAGGGGAGGGAACGGGCGGAGGGGGAGGGAGCGGGGAGGGGAGGGGGGAGAAGGGGAGGGGTTGGGGAAGGGAGCGGGCAGGGAGGGGGGGGGGAACCGGAAGGACCAAGAGAGGAGATAAAAGAGAAAAGGTGGATAAAACAGAGAAAGCCCAAGAAAACAGGCCTGCCACACATGTTATGCTCTCCGAACACAAGCTTGCAGGCGCTTTGCAGCCGCGTCGACAGGCAGACCACAATCGAGTCTGGAATGTGCAGTACGGGCTTGCCACGCTGTTGCAGGTATGCCTACGCAATTCCGAGCCGAACAGATCCACAGTCGGTGTGGGTGTGTGTACGCCGTGCAAGTGATGTCGCTACCTGCCTGCACGAAGAGGATCGGGCACTGCTTGATTTGCCTAACTACGTAGGAGCCCACATTGAGGTCTATGAGAGGTGGCGAATGCAAGGCTTCTTCCCAGATTGCTTCATGATAGTTCAAACGGTCCGGGATCTTCTGCAGCTTGGAATGCAACAGATGCAGTGAAAGCGAGCTGCCTAAGTTCTGTCGTGACAAAACCGAACGATAGCCAGCTGATGGTTAGTTGTTGGTTGTCTCCTTCATTCGCTCGTTGATGATGGGCTTGGTCTTGAGGTCAGTGCTCGCAAGCAGAGGATGTTTGGCCTATGTTTCTGCTTTGTGCTGTCAGCCATGTTTGGTCTTTGTCGTGGACCCAGTGCTGTAGGTCTGTGGCAAGTTCGTGTTGGCTACTGTAGATCCCGGCTGAAGCTCTGCCCCTAGCTTGCGTTCGTGGTGTTTCGTTTGTTTCTGATCCTTGTAACTGCCGCTGTGCCGAGCGATCTTTTACTTTTTTATGTCCGAACAAGATGGAACAACATTGCTCCAAAGTCATGGCTCTAACTTGATAAGACTTGAGGCCAGTGGGCTGCCCAGTGCTGGACATAGGCAGGCGATTCGTTCAGAGGCTGCTTGCTTAAAAACATCCGCTGCGAGGTGCAAACCTTGGTGGCTGCGCGCTGATGCTCGCCAAGGACTGCGCACATATGCGCACATGAATTCCATGCTTCACGCATCTTTATGCTTTGGTATCTAGGCCGGGCTGTCGCCTCAGAACCAGGCTCGCTTGGCTACCACAATTTGGGGATGAAGTCGCTGTGCCGGAAATTGACACTGGGATACAGGACGGGCACCCCGTCCTGGCGGTGGAGCCGGTTCCTGTCCTGGCTGACTTGCTGCGGGCATCGGTTGAAAGAAATGGTTGCGTGAATGCACTGAGAGCATCACAAAGCATCACAACATCTCGCGAGTTTAGTTGACACTCCAGCAATCGAAAGAGTGGATTCGTTTGTTGGCGCTCTGTGCTCAGGTTTGAAAAACGTGGAAGTTGTAGACACAGCTGTGGGGCGAAGCTCCGGCAGCGGCTCTCTGCAGTGCACTCATGGGCACAGCGCCACTTGTCGTGTCCTCCCGCTGCTTCGGTTGCAATGTACGCTGGAGTGCTAGAGATACCGTTATGAACATGGCAAGCAGCATTAGAAGGCTGGTCGGTGTTGCGACCGCCGCTGCCGCCAATGTGACAACTGAGCCTCGCCTGCAAGTAGCTCGATGCTCGCTGCATCGCTGCTTCCGTCCCTGGAGCTTTGGTCCGGCTCAGGAATCACTGGATTCTATTCTCCATGCACGGGGATGGTCACAGCCCTGCGCCCTAAAAATCGACGTCGAAGGCTCCGAGTTGGAAGTCGTGCAAGGCCGCCGGATCGAAACTTGTACGGACACGGCCGGCGCGATCCTACCATGTCAGTGCAGTGGCAGGTGCAGCCGGGACTTTGTCTCGCTGGCCGCATATCTTCCTAGAATTGCACCCCTATGAGCTGCGAGACCGTGGAAGCTCCAGCTGCAAGGCTGCAAACCAGTTCAGCGGATTGCAGAACCATGTGGATGAGAGCCGAATGAGAACGTCCGTACGCTTCGGAGTGCTGGACATCCGACTGGCTGAAACTAAGGCGCGGACACATTTGATTTGCTCCTCCGCATGGGCTACAACACGTTCGAAAGCAGAGACCTGAGGAACCCTGAGTGGCTTTTCAGGGCTCCAGTGCTTGCCAAGAGAGGATTTTGCAAAGGGTTGGACTCAAGGACAACATGCTGCGATGCTGGCTCTTCACGACGGATGCCTAGGCTTTTCTGCTTCGCGTCTGAGGTCCTCCCTGCGGTACCAAAGTCAGTCCCGCAGAGAGGCCTTGGGCTGGGCATCTTGAATGCAAGTCTCTCCGCCTTTGTTGCCATTGTAACATCAAGCTTGTCAGAGCTTCTCTGGCGAGAGGGGGGGCTCAGCCTCTCCCACTCCACTCGCGTTCACTCTCCGCTCCCACTTTCCACTCCTGTGCTCACTCCACACTCTCCACTCCCTGCTACAGTAACTTCCACTCACTGCTCACTACTCCTTGCTCATTCCCGCTCAATCCGCACCCTCACTCTCACCACTCCCGCCCTCTCGCTTTCTCGCTCTACTACCGCTCACTCCTCATTCTTCCCTCTGGCTACTCACTCCCACTCAGGAATGGTACCTACTCCAGTGCGCGTTGGGTTGAGGGCCGACCGGTGCCCAATGTTCGCTTGCCGCGAGTCGCGGATCACTGCGCCTGTGACTTCTGCCAGCAGTTACACAGTTGTAAAGGGCATGCTGCTCAGGGGGATGTGCAAGCCTTGCAGTATCGGCAGCATCGGTTTTCCTCAGTTTGAGGAGGTGGACACTGCTAACAATTTCCTGGCCTCGTGATGCCACAGGTTGACAGGTCGACAGGTCTGCTCGCATCGGTCCGCTTCATGTCGGGTAGTTTGACTCAAACATCGAAGTCTGAAAGCCAGCTCTTGAAAGCACGTGAAAGCACTATCTCGTCTTCGATGCCTCGGTAGTCTTTTTAAGTGTCCGGCCTCTCAGCACTTCCTTCGAATCACAAAAGTCGACTGCAGTCGTGGTTGCGAGAATGAGATCCGGACAACGTTGGAGTGTGTTATGGCGTATCCGTTTTGCACCTCTTGAGCAACGAGCAACAGGAACGCGAATGCAATCTTCGACTGCTTGCACCAAGTGGTGTGCACCTTAATGTGGACGAACAGTTTTCTGGAGAGAGTGTCCATTTCAGAGCCTTCCGATTTTAGGTCAATTCAGTGGCGATTGCCGCTGTTGGGACTTTGATGCAGTTGCAGGAGATTGCTGCTCGTCTTATCCGCCTCCACCGTCGTTTCAGCACGGCACACATGCACATGCACCTCCTCGATAGCCATTGCGAGCATTGCTAAGGCAATCTTTACATGAGCCGCTCGCCTGGGAACTTGCTGCAACAGCAGGGGGGCATTTGATGGTGTAGTTTTGTTTGCGGAATTCTGAGTCCATTTTGTTTCCGAGCTGCAGGCAAGCAGGTTTGGGCCGCCTCCTTCGTAAGTTTATGTCCCACAAGAACATCGTGATGATTTATTTAGCATGTGTGCCACGCTGCGACTTCTAGCAACGTTCAGGGCTATCCTCTTGAGCAGAAAGTGGAAAATTCTCAGGGACCTCGTTCTGCACCCAAATGCTTTTTTTTGTGACCGCCCACCCGGCCAGCCGGCAGGGGCAGCCTTTCACAGCAGCGAAGCACGGCTAGCATCCGCGGGAAATAGTCTCAGGCGGCACTGTGGCCAGCGGAAAACTTCCCAGGAGCGTCCATATCATCGCGAGGCAGCATGCCATAGAGAGCCCATCGCATGGGGGCTGCGCCCTCCCAAACATCCGTGCTGACGTATAACTGGGGCACTGTAGTCCTCCTAGAGTCCTAGAGTAGGTACGAACCGCCAGAGGTTCTTCAGTCTCCAATGCTACCCCCGCTGAGATGAAGACCGCAGGGTTCGCCTGAGTCTCTTCCGAGTGATCCAGAACCGAACATGCATGATCATGCATGTTTTCTAGCCACAACATCTTTCAGGGAGTGCCAACAGTACTCTGTGCAGTCGTGGGACAGACAAACATCTCTTCTGAACTTTTAGGGGCAGCGGCAGCCCGGGGTAGAGCGCTCGTGCTTCTGCAGGCCAATTACGGATGCAGTGGGCAAAAACTAGGGTTAAAAAACAGCTGTAAGGATTCACATTAACATTCACAGGCGTGTGCATTTGACAAGTTTGCACCCCGATCGAAGCAGTGGAAACGCACTGAGCATGAACACCTTCAATTTGCGGCAGTGTGTGGCGTGTTGCTGTATTCACTCCGGATTGTGCGATTCGATTCCCTGTCCGAGGCTGCGGCAGAGGTTTCAGCTCCCTTGCGGCAGCAGAGAACTGGTGGGCCGGTGAGCTGAGTGGAAACTGGCATCTGTGGCGGGAAAAGACTTGCGCTTCAATGTGAATGGCCCCGCTCGAAGGTGTTGCACGGTATGCAAATCGTGATTCGAACAGTGCTCGGCAAGTGGGTTTGAAGTTCGCTTCGCAAGTGCAAACTCCAAACCGCAGATTCACGAACAATGCAACTATCTGGCAGAAGATTCCATGGCTGCGTGCTGTTGCTTAAACAATTTATCAATGCTCAAGGGATGAGCTTAGTAGCCAGCGCAGCTGCATCGAAGATGCTCCAGCCTGAGGAGTGCCTGAGGCTTGTCTTGGCGAGTCAGCCTTGTAATCTTAGGTCAGTTTTGATGACCAGTCGCCGCCAACCCTAGCCGCAGGCTGTCCTGTTCCTGCCTCAGTCTGCTATCTGCGTGACTTTGCTTTGGCATGATTTTGAAGCGAAAGATATAGCCTATAGTGCAGCTCTAACATCTGCGCGCTTTTTGTTCGGCGCACATAGGCCTGAGTGTAAGTTAGGCTGCTGTGAATGGCTAGAATAGCGGCTAGAATGCTCCAGGCAGCAAAGGTTCCCTTGCTGGTGCCTAAGTGCCGAGGAGTCTTGAAGACACATTGACGCTTCATGCTATTCCCTCGCCGGTTACACTGAGGAGCCAATTCCAAGGAATGTCTCCGTTGGCAAGTGCTTGCCTTGTTGCAGAAGATGTTCATGATCGACAGAAGCCAGTGAAACACGAGGTGCATTAGCTCGTGCACGTTTGACTCTGCCGCGAGTTGGCCGAATCCGAAGCAGGCTTTAATCAGCTGTGAATTGTGGCTGAAGTGGTCTCATTAGTTGTTCCTGCTCAGATGTCCACGTGCTTCCTCATTCAGCACTGCCACTCCGGAGTCGAGTAACTTAGCCGCGGCCTTGCGACCTTGCACTTGATGTTGTTTTGCCGAAAAGCGCGCTGACGGAGAGAGGAGGCAGACACTTCAGCAGAGGCCCAAATCATCGAAGAGCAAGCCAGACTAGCGGCGGCATAAACACTTGGGCGCGCAGGCGCGCGTAAGCGACAGTCGCATGCGCGTACGGCTTGTGCACCGTTGCTTTAAAAGCGATGCACTCAAGGGGTGTCTCAAGGCTATCTTGAGATCTTATAAAGCCGACGACGACGACGGCGGCGACGACGACGACTGCTACTGCTGCTACTACTGCCGCTGCTGCTGCTCCTGCTCCTAGATCCGAAAACGCCCAAGATCAGTTTTGCACAGGGTTTTGCGCGCGCAAGGGCATGCGCAAGAGACACCCTCCAACTTCGACCAATCCCCCATCCCTTTTATGTGACAGTCCTTAGCAACATGGGCCCCGAAACGCAGCTTTGCTACGGCAAGAGAATCTCAGCAAACTAGGGTTTCAGTCCCGCAAGGAGCTGAAACGCGCAAAGGGCACTCGCAAGGACTTAAAAAGGTTGGAGCAGACTCAAGGGGCCGCGCGTAAGGAACAGTTGGCTCCGCGGAAGCTGCGCACGCGTAAGGGTTTGACCACCGCTAACTTGACCTTTCCAGGCACTTCATCCTGTTCTGGAAAGGCACCGATGGGCAGTTAGTTCTCGGGCTCTGACAGAAAGTCCTCAGTCCTGGTCATGTTGGGCTCTCCAGGCCCTCGAAGCCCTCGGCCATCAGACTCTACTGGAAGCTGGCCAAGGAGGGGGCCAAAGAGCTGTGCCTGTGATTGGTATACTTGCTTCTTGGGCGTCGTCTGCTGCTCGTGCACAGGGCAAGCTTACATTGTGGGTGTCTCTGTCGGCCAGCACCTCAGGTGCCACAAGCCAGACACAAAACACCAGATAGAGGGCATAAACGCCAAACATGCATGGTAATGCACAGTGCGCGCTGCACAAGCAGAGCAAGGCAATTTGGTCTTTTCAGCCATGGTGATGCTTGTGGTTGTGGTCCGCCACTAGTGCAAGTGTCAATGCCCTTATTTGGGTGCCTTGTCGGGGAGCGAGCATTTCCGAACCTGAGGCAATGCCAGGATATTTCTTGGCCCTTCCAGGCACAATCGAGCCATCAATTGCAGCTGCGCTGCTGGGACCACAGCCTGCGATTGTTCCAATGTGCTCTGACCTTCAGCTAGCAGAACGGTTTGGACTCAGACGTGAAGTCGGTGGGGTGTTGTAGTGGGATGTAGTTGGTGTTAATTGTATGCCCTCAGGTTCGTGGGAACTTTTTTGACATCTTCCTCGGCCCAAACCATGAATCAAATGATCGAGGCAACGGCGGGAAGCACTAGTTCCACTCCCGTAATTTGATCAGAAAAGCTTGTTTTCAGCCTGTGGGATCTACTTGTGCATGTCAGACGAGTGCCTCGCTTTCTGAGGCTCCACGTGCTAGTATAGGCTCTTCCATGGTCACCGCAGATCACAAGCCACGTGAGCTCACGTTGCCAGAAGGAATACGAACCTGCGCGAGTTCAACCTTGCAGACCGTTTGTGTAGTGTCATCCGACTTTGTACAAATTCAGAGACGAAGAAGCGAGAAGCGGTCACGAAATCCCATCCTGGTTTTCAGCTGCGCCTGCCGTGCACCGGTGAGTCGGACGGCTGCAAGTGCACAGGATATTCGCGATGCAGCCTGCGAACCGACCCATACTCGAGTACTAGTACCTGAGTGGGCATCCATCATCGTCCAGGTGCATCGTGACGCACGCATGAAGCGGACTGCAATGAGACCACTCCCGCCGACAGCTTACTGTGCATCCTCCTTCTTGTGCTTTTGCAGTGTGTTGTCAGTTTTATTGGTGATGCCGTCAGCCAGGTCAGGGCAGCTGAGCCCCCATGAAGCAGCGCGAGCTTGTCTCAGCAGCTTCATTGGTTCGGTGAACATTTTGCACGTTCAGACCGCGCCGAGGTATGAGTCTGTATGAGGCATCTGTTTAAATCCGCATGTTGAAGCTCCGCTGTTTTTTGATGTTTTTGGGCCGTCTTGGACACATCGTGGGTTTCCGCGACAGACCCACCCGCCACCCGCCACAGCCACGACCACTGCCTCCCGCCACCTGCGACAGTTCCAGTGGCAGAAGGTCAGTGGTGGGAGAACGCCCAGGGCGGAAAGTCCTGTGGCAGGGGAGGCCTTGGGCCAGAATCACTGTGCGGGAGGCTGGGAGGTGTGACGAGAAAAGCTATGGCGGGACCGCTGTGGCGGGAAGCCTTCCTGAGGCGGGAGGGCCTGCCGAACTTGTGGCGAAAAGGGAGCGGGACTGGACGTCTGTTCACCGTGGGCTCCATGCCCCACTGACCACCAACACGTGTCGGATTTCGAGCTAAGTCTGTGGAGCTGAGGCTTTGCAGCAGCTGCGGGAGCTTTAGGCCTCGTCACTCTAGGTGTCAGCAGCTGAGTCGGAAAGCACATGCTGATCCGCTTTCCTATCAGTGTGGCGTGCATGCTAAGATCGGCACGACGAGCTGCACCGCTGCCGTGGCTGCAACTACGATGGCACAAGTCTTGGCTGAAGCAAGCAAGTCAAAGCGGGCATCTGCAGTCAGCTCGATGAGTAGTTGAATTCGAAATGCACAAGCTGCTGAGGCTACATACGCTGCCCTGTACACCCCACTGAAGGTGACGAGGGACAGTTGATACCAGTACTAAGTACTAGTTTCTAGTTACTAGATGCGTGGTGCAGTCCTTTTGGACAGCAGCTCCCCAACCGCATGCTCTCCTATGTGCCCACCGCGTTGTCTCAGCTGGAGGTACGCAGCCCATATAACACTCACGTCGGTGCCATAAGCGGGCCGGCTCCTTGTGGTGTGCACAGTCGTCAGGCCGTAGAAAACAGCATTTGCCATCACGTTTGACAGGTCTTTGCCGACCCTGATGGGCTTCACGGCAGCCTTGGGCACCGGCTTATGTGCAGAAGCCTTGGACGTCGAAGGGCAGCAGAAGCATGACACTAAATCCCGTGTTTCCGCCACGTGCCGAGGTTTCACCTTGGTTACCACATGCAGCCTGGCTTTTCGGGACCGGGTGGATGTTCGATGATGGCCGGATCGAGCACATTTGCCCGGCTGCAGGATGCAAACCTTGTGGCAAATGCCGCATTTCTACTCGCTAGCATGGCCTCGTCGCTTAGACTTGCTTGCCAGTGGCTGCTGAATCTGCTTGAAACGGGCTTCAAAGCAGTGGACAAACTGAGCAAACTCAGGCTGCACAGGAGCGACTACCTTCAAGGGGGTTACAAGATGCTGCTCGTCTTTTTAGTCAGGCTCATCGCGCTGGCAGAACATTGATTTTTTCTTATCTGCGAGGCTCTGTGGCAAGTTGTGCATGGCACTGTTGACACGACATCCGAGGTTTCCGCTGTCTGATGAATCAGGCAAACAATCCGATCCTCGCGGTCTCTTGACTTGCTGCAAGCTTGAAGCCGTCAAACCAGGCATGGAAACGGCTGCAATGTCCAAGCCGTACTTGGCAGCGCTCTGCGTTCTGCAGCTCGCTTACCTGGACTCGTGCTTGCGCAATGTCTGATTCGCAGAATGGTAGCTGGTAGCGGCTACAATCTTCTCTTGGTCTCGCCTTGCAGGCCGTGGGCCATGTCGGCCAGCGGCGCTGCTTCCTGGATGCTACCGGCACATTTCCCAGTCATTGACAGTCGCGCGGCACGAGACAAAGCAAGCCGGTCATCGTCATGTCAACGAGTCTTTGCTTGCCTCGAGGTCGGAGCTGCATTGCCAAGTTTTTTCTGGTTCTGGCCACAGCAGTGATCTGTTATGTCTGTCAGTGAGGGTTTCTCCCAAGCTTTTGCTGATCTCAGTGCGACAGTTTCGCTCGTGACATGTGAGTGCTGAGTGCAGCATGTCCAAAACCATAGTGCTTCCAACCATTCTTCTCCAAAGAGTCAAGTTACTTAGCAGATGTTGGCAGCGCACCCTGCATATCAAAGGTGGCACACACTCAAAGACTTCGAAAGAAGGCCCAGTGCTTCCACATGCAGCGATGGGCTCAGCGACTTCTGTGCCTTCGTTTGCATGCTGTTGTAGCCTCCAGCGACTCTCACGCGTGTTGGCGTGAATAGTTCCACATGCAGGACGCTTCTTTCTCGGTTCCCTGTGACAGCCTCGGCATCTGCCTGCTTCCATCGCAAAAGTCCACTGTATTGAATCGGCTACTCTCACGGGCCAAGTCTGTTTCTGGCGTTTGCAGCCAAGTGAGTGGACACCTGCCCGGAAGCCTGAGCCAGGTCCTATTTGATTTCGATGCTGGTGCTGTTCACGGCATTTTCACGGGCATCACAAAGCAGCGACATCACAGACGATGAGCAGGCTTATGTTGGTAAGGACTTGAGGAAGCCTTAGAAGTTGCCACGAAATGAAGTGTTAATGTTTAGAGCAAGAGCTCTGCCAATCACCACCTTCAAGACAGATCTGCGCAGGGGGCAGCAGCCCACACGGATCGAGGCGTTCTCGAGCCATCATGGAGAGCCCGGCTCCTAGCAAGAGCTTGGCCCAAGCACGAGTCAGCACTTCGTTGACTGAGGCATACATGCGTTCCTGCCTGCTGGGGGCGTGTCCGCATGAGCAGGCTTGTCTGCGGGGGGCGGCATCCTTCAAGCCCACCAAGCATGTTTTGAGACAGGTGTGTCGCGACCTTCTCCACACATGCGCGCAGACTGGAGGTGCAATAATGCAGACCATAGCCATCCCATCGAGAAGCTTTCCACCACTGCAACTCATGTTCTCAGGATGCCCCTTGGCGAAGCGACACCCCGGATCTGCAGCACAATGAGAAAATTGTGAAGATTATCTTTCTGCGCAGGCTCCTGTGTACGTATATATATATATATATTATTTTTTAGATAGAGATACAGCTTAATAACAAACGAAACAAATACATAGCAACATATTAATGGAGCCTCCCTACATGGATCCACCTTTTCCGGCCTCTAGTACGTGCGCGATACAATTTGTCTTCAAGGCAGTGGTCTAAGATATAGCGTTGAGGGAGCCTTTACAAACTTAAATGAAAGAAGAAATTACTTGAAAAGTCTATTTTATACGCCTTTTAAAAGAGAAATCTTGGCTGAACAAAATAAAGCGAAAAATTTGTTTTTAAAAATTTGAAATATCGAAATTCTGGAATTCTTCTTCTACGATATGATAAGACTCTAGGAATTTTAGGTATTTTTAGAAATTCTAATTTGTTTTAGATTAATTCTTCTCTTTACTCACGACTTACTTTTGAAGTTCTTGTTGTATATATTTGAATCTATAAAAATATTTATTCGTGATGATGAGATATTTTAAACCCTAAACCCTAAACCTTAAACCCTCTCTACCTATAGGTATTTAAACTTTAATGCATCTTTCGAACATGACCCCCCTATGGTTGTAGCAATTTTCGAACATTGCAGTAATTTTCGAACATGGCCACCATTCTTGCTGCAATTTTCGAACATGGCCACCATTCTTGCAGCAATTTTCGAACATGGCCAC